TGTATGGAGATGTTGCAGCTGCTTGGAGACCGAGCCGCCTACAGCGCCAGCTTCTGGAGATCCTCGCTAGGGTCAAAATGAAGCTTACTCGACTCGACTCCTGTGTTGAAAAAAATAGAAGAAAATGATATTGTGATACGAGAGCCGTGTTCATTCTTCATGTTCGACTATGTTAGAGATTATATCATGTTAGTGTCTGATATTTTTAACCACTCAGTAGTGATAACACCGTATCAGAGCTCATGTTCATACTGTAATTGCACACTGTATACTGTAATTTTGAATGTTGTGTCGTCTTCAATAAGCTTTTGGTAACGAAATTTCTCATCAATTTTTGTTTACATGCATTGTACACGAAGAATTCACAGCAGATGCTGTAGCTCTGCAACATAGTGTTCAAGCAGAAGTTATCCCAGCTGGGCGGGGGGAAGGGTTTGCGCAACGACGCGACTAAGTCCTGCCCTGCGCAGCGGGACAACGGTGCACGGACTCTGGTCATCTGCACTTTCCTAGGGCTGACAGTGGAGAAGGATCAACATGTCCATGAAAGGGTGCCAAGGAACAGATTCAGTCACATCACCCCCTTCCCCAGCCAGCCGCCCAGTCCGCCCCAGCTACAAGAGCACCTTTGACCGAACAGGCCTGCGAGAAAGGAATATCGCGACTGTTTGAATCCAAAGAATGTCACCTGCTTGTTTCTAGCAAGAAGAGCGCTAACGTAGTTGAAGGGGCACGAAGGCTCTCCTACCGGGTTAGTGACCCACAGTGCAGAAGACCAGGGTCGGAGCGACTTCTTGTCTTTGTGGAGAAGTACGTACTTAGTCGCCCAGCCATGCGGCTCGCCTCAACTAATAAGCTTCGGAAGAAATTAGTGTTCATTCAGGAAAACTCCACCTTTTTCGGCGGCGAATATCTAGTTCTAAGTTCGTTGGCAGTCTTGCAGAGGGGGCTGACGGCGGAGGGGGGAGGGCGTTTTAGGTGACCTTGGCCATAGAGACGACATCCATTCTAGCCCAAGGTTTTGCGCCACTATTTCTCTGACCGTTCCCAGCAAAAACGCAGTGAGGGTAAGAGATAATAATCATAATCACAATACAGCGTTATTTTAGCACCGGAACATCAATCGCGTCCAATCGCATGAACGCAGAGATCTAAGTTCGGCATTGAAAACATATAAGTGCGCGGATTTTCTCTCTTAATACTTGGAATGAATATCGGAGATTCGCTGCAGGAGAAAGTCAGAACGGAGCCGTTACCCCCTCAGCCCTGACGCGAAAACAGATTTGCTGTACCACGGAACTCCTTTGGGTCGGCCGCTTCAGCGCCACCCACCAATGCGTGCCCCTGGGTGGCGCTATGATTATGAAAAAAGGGTGGAGGAATTGTGATGAAGTGGCCCCTTTACCACGGGCCCGATCAGGGTGTCACTCTCTGATCGGCTGCCGTCAAGGCCGGCGAAAAGACACTTGTCAACGTGACTAAACGGCAAAGGGCACAAGGATCGCGGATGGGGTAGTGGTGACGCCGGAAGTGTCGGCGAGCGGGGGGGTAGGTCGAACTGCGGACGGGTTAAGAGAGGCGTACGCCGGGCTCAGTATGAACGTCAAATCCTGAAGAAATCGGAATGGCGACGCATACCGCAAGAGGAAATCAAATTTGCCAAAGTGTAATGGGGGAAAAGGTGACCGCAAATTGGTTCTTCTCCCACAGTTGGATTCTATCTTGCGGCTTCTTACAGTGCAATGTAAGAAGCTAACGACATGAAGGAAAGGTGTAGGAATAAAGGTATTGTCATTTTCGCTGCAGACGCTGAAGCGCGCCAGGGGCTGTATTTGGCGCAGTGCCAGCCTGTTTTCCACTAATGGTTTGTTACTCGCTCCTTCTTCAACATACGGTGAAGAACGAAGTGGCGTCGCGCAAAACCCCGCCCTATGACACGCCCCGGCGTCTACAGCGAAAACGACAGCACATTCCTTGTACAAGCGCAGTCACCCGATTCAATGGCAACCCTTCCCACTAACAGGCCCCCTCCCCTGAACAAAATGACAAAGAGGATTACACATCAATGGAGGTTATCCAAGGGCCCTACCCATTCGTCCAGTGCGGTATGTGTTCTCGGAAGCGGCTCAGATGAGCAAGCTCCGCAATATTCAAAATAATAAAAAATAAGCTTTTCTTGACACAATACATCCTGAAACCTCTTGACCCTCCCTACACAATTTTTTGCAACGCCTGCGGAGAAGGATGTATCAGCAGTCCACTCCCACTTCCGCCGCCCCTTCCCTCTAGGAAGGGATTCAAAATCTGGCGCTGATGTGTACTCCATATCCTGGAGATAGCTGGGGCTGGCTTCGCTTCACATCCGAAAATTGCGTAGAACTCGTTTTTGGGGCATTCCTTGAGAGACAACTTCATCCTGTCTTGGGCTGGACAAAGAAAAGACAAATGGCGCAGTTGCCACCACCTGCAAGTGAAAGTGCGCAGCCACACCCTCCCATCCTCCGAGGTTTATAAGTGGTAAGATACACGGTCCCAGCACATTGACCTGTTAAAGTGGTGACGATGCAACATCCTGAGCGGCACATAATCCACAAGTTAAGTCACATGCCCTGAGACGGTTGACACGTCAGTTAAAACGACTTTATGAGTGGCGTTCGAGTGACCGCGTCAGCTACTCCCAACAGGTACGGCCCCCTCCCTCCTAAACCTGTACGACAAATCATGCGATGGGTAATACTCCCTATTGTCATGATGAGAGCACAGCTGCTTGCTGTACATTTTTTTACCAGGACCTACAGTTTTCGGGCGGCAGGGGCGAAACCACCCGTAAAAATAAACCCGCGCCCACTACTCGGACGACTGTAGGACGGGCGCACGCAATGCCGGTAAGTGCGATCGCCGAGGATGCTGTCCCCGGAGTTTCATGCGAGCTTCATTTCATATTTCGCCGCAGAGGATATAAGTCCCATTCGATTATTAATGGACATTTTCCAGTATTAAATGCTTAAACAACTATTAAGGCTTACCTGGAAAGTCTAGACGTTCTTGAAGAAGCATAGGAGATTTTAATGCGTCGCTTAAGAACTTCATGATTCAAGTAACGAATAGCCCGCAACTTCTTTCTGGAATAACCCTTAAAGAGCTACTTGCAGTCGGGGAAAATATGTAACCTGACAGATTTTTCGAATAACTGGCTCCTGAAGGACCACCTCAGCATTACATCAAGGTCCTACCTCCAGCAATTACTCCTTTCCTTCTCCGCACTCGAACAAAACCTTGTGGGAACATTAAAGCTTTGCCGGTTTGATGCGAACGCATTTTCTGGGAGCAAAGGCGAGCAATGATTGTTGAATCCGAGCAAGCTGCACGTGGCTTTAAAGGTCCCTTGAAGAGGTCCTGCACAGATAACGGCCGGGAGCTCATACAGTGTCTGTGCTGCTTTAAGTGCTGCTAATTAGAAACTAGTCATTAGTGAGAATCCTTCTATTTCGTGCCTTGTATCTTTTGGTCTTGTCAGAATGGACTTAAAATCGCTTCGAACCCATTTACTCGCAGTTTATCGGTGCTAGTGCAATGATTTCAGATGGCTAAGAAATTCGAGTTCAAGTTTGATCTCGAGGAAGACGAAGAAACATGGTTGACTCCTCAGCTTTCAGAAAGAACGGTACGAACTTCATCAATTTTTTTTGCAGTTATTTCTTATTCTTTTCTCTCGACATTAGGCGGATGAAAGTGAACATTCGCTAATTGGAAGAGATTTCGTACGTTCCTGTCACTGGTTGCTCAGTTTTCGCAGTTTTAAACTGATTCATTCTGATTTTTAAAATAAAAGTTACCCTGTGTTCCAGAGAATTTAAAAGGCGCAGTTTAGCGGAGGGGGGGGGGGTTGGGGCTTTTGCACTTTGTGCTTCACTTGTTCCTTTTTACAAGCCTCATTCTGGTGAAACTTGTGCAAGAATTAACAGTGATCTCTACAAACCTTGGCCAGTAATTTCATGGCTTCACAGGATTTCACAGGTCCCTACCTGATGGCTTGTCATGGAAGTAGTAAACGTGCGAATGCCCCTACCGTCGCCGAACTGCGCTCACCTTCTGTTTTTTCTCAGCCCTCCGCCTTCCTGAAAAGAATGTGCTGCAACGGAGCTCTGGTGTAGGCTTCAAACAGGGCCTTCTGCTTTCCCCTCCAAGATTTTGGTTTCCTTTGCTTCTGAACCGCTTATCACAAATCATTTTTAGGTGGCTTCGAAAGTAAAATATCAGCGAAAGACTCAATAGTAGTGCTGCTGTATCTCGCAACACCCAAATCTCGAGGTCGTAAGCAGGGTACTTGCTGCCGTTGGGAAATGTTTTACAAAGCGCGCCCTCCCAAAGTTTATCCCACTTTTCCAAAAAGCATTTCCCCGAAGTTCTCAGTGCCTCATTCCCAAAAAAACAACTGCCATCGCGAGCTGGGGTGGATATGTGGCGCACTTGAGTGAGGAAAACGGAGAAAAGTCCCTGATCGAAAACATTTTTCTTAAAGGGACAGCGGTCAAGTATGATCCCCTCCCTTGCTGCGGATCGCCAAAAAGCTATGCACCCGGTCAGCAAGGGGTACTGAAGGCTATTATTGGCAGTCATTGTACATTGGCGTATTTTCGATCCCCCTTCACTTGTAGAGGTACCGGTTTAGTTTGCTGACTTCAACGAAACCGGTTGATTTCAACAACACCTATGGTTGGTTCGTGTGTTGTACCAGTAATTGAAAGCAAGCACATTTCAACTGTTGCGCGAAAAATATTTGGAAATACACCCTAGTTTAATAAAGTTAGAAGTCCGCCGCTCGGCTGCAAACTCTATTTCCCATTCCAATCCTACCAACCATTTTCCCCAGATTCCTATCACTTTTCCCCAGTTTCTCAGAAAACTTAGCGATTTCTTCCCAAAAGGATACCATCGAGCGGCTGTGAGCGAGGGGTTAGAAGTATGTATGCCTGTGGGGGGGAGGGTAGCTGGGAGGACGGGGATGCATAATATATCACGCCTGAACAGAAAAGGTAGTGAAACGTCAGACGAACCGAAAGCTTTTCCTTGAAAGCATGTACGACCCCTCCTCTCCTGTATCAGCACAATATGAGCCTCTCTCGCTGAAGATTCCCAACGTACCCATGAAAGAACGACTAAAAGAGAGTAATGGGAGGTTGTAGCCGAAATTCTAAGCCAGTTTTACGTCAGATATATAAAAACGAGGAATACGGCACTTTGCCGTTGGGGAAACTAAATTGGATTCTGATAGTGCAGATGTAGGTTTGGCATTACCAAAACTGATTCGACTATTATTTGATTATTTCAGGTTGGTACGCAGTCAAAACCAGTAGACTTGAAAGAATGGTTCGGACAAATTCAGATGTCAGACCGAGCGTCATTGCTCAGTAAAAAACTACAGAAATATGCTCAGAAGCGAGGTTTACGATTCTTTCACTCACTCCTTGTATTTTTTTTCCTCGAAATTTACCGCTCATACTTACATCATTGCGTCCATAACTCTTTCAGTTTCATCTGTGATTCTGTTTTTTTTTTTCTATAACAAGCCTAACCAGATATTTCCTCAATCATAATAGTGATAATAATCGCAGTGATTACTATATTAGCCTCCTGAAAATGATCCGAAATTTCAGATACCTTTTCCTTGTTTGTTTTTCTTGGAGACGAAGTTTCAGGCTCTTGAAGCTTCATTTTTCAAGAAGTCTCCAGAGAAGACTTCCATCGCTTGAGAGGGCACGATTCTAGCGATGACGATTCGCGAGTAGGAACACGGGCTTAAATAGAGAATTAAGAAAAGAAACGGATAGATGATGAGGCGCCTAACACGGATAAACGGATACGATTCCAGAAGGCTACTACAGTAACGCTTTAGATTTGGCGGCTTTATTCAATACTGGGGACATTTGGAACCAGGTTTTCGTGAAAAATGCCCCACTAGCAAAGTGAAGCCAATCTTCTTTGCTCATTTTTTTCGTCGTGAACTGCTGGTCAGCCCTTTTGGCACCCTTTTAATTTTCCCCTGTGCGACATCACTGTCGTCATCTTATGTTGGCTCAAAAGCTAACGCATTGTTTATTACAGAGCTTACTAATAGTAACAACATTGATCATGAGCAAAACTAGCGCTGAGGCTTACCAATGCGTAACATTGTGTTTGGTTATATTTCTCTTTTTATACACTATATTTTTGGCATATTTAGTATATGCGCTTAATCTAGAGGCTTCTTGGGAGCTGTTCCGTTACGGGGTGATGTGGTGGGATTTGTGAGTCACTAAATATGCAAGGCAATTTTGTGGGATCCTGTAAACCTATAAAATTGCAGGGTTTAATTTTCTTCGCAACAAATGCTCCAATATGCCGAGTTAGCAGAGTACCTAAAACATGCAGGACGAGGAGCGGCAAACATTTTACATTTCGGCTTGGAGGGCTTCTCTAGATGGTACCTGGCGAAGTTTGTTCTGACCATTCTGTTAAGACCAACCAGTTTAATTCGTGCAACTGCAAGTGGTTCGCCATTTTAGCTTTTGAGGAGTTTACAGGTCTCACTGAAAAGTGAAGTGTAACCTGTTGATTAACATGGACTAGCAAAAGGAACTGAAAGAAGTGCAATATGCCCCTCCTCAAACTGGACAACACTCACTTTTTAATGTCAATGTTCAGGAGAAATTGAGTTTCTGACAGCTTGAAATGGAGTGTCCTTTACACAGAAATGTTGTTTCACCTACTGAGGAGCTGTTTTACTCAAGGCTTATTTAAAAGTCTTCATTCTGTGGCTCTTAATATTGCTTTTACCAGTCACTGTATTGTCATATTACATAAAAACCAGGGGAATTAACGAACTAACACCAGCTGTGGCTTTTCTACCGAACGAATTTTTTGGATCATCCTTTGTTTCACCTCTTATTTCGACCATTTATTCCGACCGAGGTTTCAACAAGAGCCAACATGGTACCGTTTTGTAGCTTAACAAATGGTTACAAAAATACGCAATTGCTACGCACGTTGTTGGCGGTTTACGAACCCCTCCACCCCCCACCCCCCCCGTTGCCAACTAGCGCCGTTACTTATGGTCTAGCTGCTGATTAGTTATTTTTAGCACGAAGAAGATTCTTGAGAAAGTCATTTGGGTGGACAAGCAGTAAGCAGGAATCGTTAATT